AAAAGTTTGAATAAATTCTGTGCACCGGTAAAAAAGAAATTGCTAAAAATCCGGGACAGTCGGGCGTCGGGAAGACTAGATTTATCGCTTGCCGTCAGTATGTAGAGTTGCCGTTCGTATCTCTTTCAGTGTATGACGCTACACTAAAAATGAGTTCCATTACGAAAAACTTTTGAGGTTCTTTATAATTTAGTTTTACTCTGAACGAAATCTAATATTGTAATAAGTAAGATTACTTTATTATTACATTTACTTAAATTTCAAATTATGAAAATTAGATCAATTCAGGAGAAAATGACATGAACTATTTGTGGCGGATGTTTATGCACGTTTTCTGTTGAATGTCATCGGAGTTAATCGGTCGACACAATAGCCTCGCTTTCGGCTCTATATAATCAACACAAATTACTGCGCATGTTAAATGCGTGATGACCATGGGAGATTGAACATAGTTCAACTCCCAAATATATACAATGTACCCCCGAAACTTCGTTAACGGGGCTTAAGAATAACATGTAAAGTAACAACTTTTTCATCATCCAACATTTGTTTTTGTTTTTCTGTTGGTGAAAACACTCCTAAAATCATCATATGTACTAAGTACATGTAGAACGGGGAAAACGATACTACATGTGCCAATATTTGGAAAGACAAGCCCTTCTCTTTTAGTTAATCATGTTTTATGCTACAACCCCCATTTTTGAAAGGTTTTGATGACACTAGCAAACGACAAATGACATTTTAAAGGTTTTGAGCTATTAACAAGAATATTCCTACCAAAACGAACGTTTTTTGCATCAAAATATGACAAGGGGTCATTATTCTACGCGGTCATTTTTCTACAATGCACACGGAGAAAAATGACCCCAAGGCCATAATTTCTACAGAAAAGTGGGTCGTTTTTCTTCGTAGAGAATTGACCAGGGGGTCAAATATCTACGTAGAAAATTGACCCCCGGTCAATATTCTACGGGGGTCACTTTTCGTCGTTACAGCGGTTTTATGATCAACTAACGATAGTTCCTTTCAGTCATATTTTTTTGTCTCCAAATTGATTCGATATACACAAGAACATACTCTGTGTTAGAATAATTTTCAAACCGAGGCAATCTACTGTCAGATAAGTGGATATCGATGATACAAGGATAACCTTTTTGCAAAATGTACATGTACGGTTGACATAATCAGAATGTTCACAAGTGCTCTACAACTTATCATTTTGCCGATTTAGTCTTACATATATGATACTGTTTGTCAGGTCATTGCTTTAACACTAACTCTAATCAAGAAGAACTTCGTATACGTGTTCAATATACACATTTAGGACCAATCCACAGGGGATGCTTACTACTATAGGCACCTGATCCAACAACTCATGAGCTGCTGTGTCTTTGTGGTCTTATATTTTCCCTGCTCATTATTCATTTTGTTCACTGGATTTATGAGATAGATCAATGTTAATTATCTTCACATTTTACATTCAACGTCTACTGTTTGTAACGATGGGTATTTATGCCTTGAAAATATCACTCGTCACAACATATTGCGTTTTAAGTCTTCATTCATGGAATTCCAAAAGTTACATTTAATCGCTAAGACTCTAAAACTAAGACTTAACTCTGAAACACACATCACGTCGCTCTTTTCCCTAAACTCCTCCCACATTTATAAAAATAACCAATGAAAGAATACAGAACTCAAATGTAACATCAAAAGAAAGAATGGTTGACATAAATTTCCACAGAATTCTCTTTTATCTCTACTCTAAACATATAACTCACAATATTGTCATTGATACTGTGGGACGAAGGGGAGAGAGACGTCAAATTTGATAAATACCACACAGATGCTGAAACATGAAAGTAAAATAAAGTACACAAAATCACTCCTTGACATTTTATTTGCCTCGGTTCAATCATCCTCACAAACCATGGGCCCTACACGACAAGTGAATTAATGATTCTGACTTTGTGAGAGATTCTATAAAAATAATTTTATCATATACTAATTGTACGTAATGCTCGTTTTTCATATTAATTGTTAAACAATTATATACACACTGAATTATTCACGGGTTTTCCGTTATTTCCCGATCATGACAAGGAGCACACGGCATGTGTTACCGGTATGTTAATTCACTCCTCCATCGCATCTAATCCCTCCTCTGATGTTTTGGAGGTCCGTGTTTGCTCTGCTTCTATTTTGTACTGTTTAATGGACTTTTGAGCTTGAACAGTGTTCCTTATCTTCATAAATTTCATCATGGTGAAAATGTAAAGATAACGGCCTATGATTGTTGTTCTCATTAATTCTTTAAATTAATGAAAAGTGAAAAAAAAGAACAAAAGAAAACCCGGACCCCTGGAAACGCCAAAGGTGGGTTTGGTGCCTGTGAGAAGTAAATTCAATGTTGACCACACTCACTCACCGTGAGCTCTCTGTTCTCAAAATGATATTAATTGATTGCCCAATAATTAATTGGTTTAGTCAAAATATTATTCATTATTCATATATGACAGGGTTCTATCTGCAGAAACTGGTTTTATGTATAATCTTTGACTATAAACCAAATTATTAAATCATGACACTCTAAAGTTTCTGCAGCTACTAGACGTCCCGAGTCGACATTTCGGGACCATTGACAGTGAGAGGATAAATGTTATGCAGCAATAAGTTGCATATTATGTTACAATGCAAACGAGGTCTCTACAATTACATGTATATACAGTGAATATCAACCGTAGAGAAAATACGTCTTTATTTTTCGTGTTGGGAGGACAAAATAAGCTGGAGTTGGTGTAAGTCACGTAAGTATTCCATTAAGATTTGCAAAAGAAAATAGAGTGAAGAGAGACGACCATTGAATTGACCGAAATGTCTTAGATCAACAGAATATTGCACTAGTGAGGGTCAGTTGGTTTAAGGCTGAAAATACTCGATGTCCAGTGTACGATTACGACAATCTGATTAAAATCATCAGATCCTTTGATCCGCTCACATAGATAGCTACATCAAAAATTAGGCCTTTCAACTAATTTTTCAAGTTGCACATATGGTAAAAAACATTGTATAGATAGATTTATAGGTACATGAAATTATCAAAAAAGATAATAACTTATGCATACTTTTAATTAATCATTAAAAGGTTTAATCATTTATAATTGACTTTTCCGATCTTGTGTTTAAGGACAGGTAACTCAGGTGTGAAAAATGACCAACTTAGTGCCGATTTTTGAGTTATCATTTATAGGAATGACATATAGGCTGCTTCAGCATTGGCATTGTTATATACACAAAAGGGTTCCTTACATTGTTGGGTACACAAAATGTTTTGACCAAGAGAAAGAGAATGCCTTCACTCTACCTGAAATAACAGGGTCAAATGAATGGGGAACAGACTATATTCAATAGTTTTAACTCTCTTTGACGATTATTTTGAAGAAGAAAATTTAATGTCATGTTTTTGTGTTCGCGCTTTTTCGCTTCCTGTGTAAATATATATATTTTTACAAGTAAATGCAACAATTGATCATCTTATTTGTGTTACTAAGCACGAAGGGGAACGACCGAGTATAAAAATTTAATTAGGTTAGAACTGAGAAGGAGGGTAGATTTCACTTTTTATTTTAATTAAAACTTTTAATTATATGCAGTAAACCGGTGTCCGCAACTATACAGTAAATAAGTTTAACATTGGTGCTAAATTTTAAAACCACTGGATTCTACTGAGAGCAAAGAAACACTTGGGAAATGCTAAAAACTGCCTTGCATGTAAACAGTAAGATACCCCGAGCCTGCTCTAAACAAGTTTCAGCAGTGAGTTATCCTTCATAACACCGACCCCTAGCGGCAGTTGAAAGGCCTACAAAAATCTGAAGAAACCTCATTCAGGGTCATCTCCTGGTGACCTTTCTAATAAAAATATTCATGAAAATTTTGACCAATCAGAGAGGTCATACTTAAGCGACATTCGGGAAGACGAAATTAGAAGTGAAAGTAGTTGCGGAGAAGATCTTGTCGTTTCGTACAAAAGAAAGAGGTAAAAACAAGACAAAAGCAAGTACTTATTATATTACTGTACAGAAAAGACCGTGATCCTTCTCTTGACAGGCTACAGAAACTAGGTCACGATTTTTCCATTCTTGTAACATCGGGCCTTTTCCCTCTGTAACTGAATCCCGAGATACTTTCCAATTCTCCAAAGTAAACATTTGATTGGATAATTCAAAGGTCACCAGGAGATGACCCTGAGTGGGGTTTCTTCAGATCCTTGTGTAGCGATCTATGTGAGCGGATCAAAGGATCTGATTTTAATCAGATTGACGATTACGAATACGCATGCCTGTCTGATATCCGATATACAAACAGGCAGTGGCGGATTTAAGGGGGGGGCGCACCCGGCGCGCGCCCCCCCTAAAATTGTCAAAGTTAGCGTAATTCAAATATGTCTACTTGGTAGACCTCATTTTCACCCTTCAAAATCTCTAGAATCCAGGAGCTTCCGGGGGCTTCGCCCCCTGGACCCCCACCAGGGCTTTGGTAGACCTCATTTTTACCCTTCAAAATCTCTAGAATCCAGGAGCTTCCGGGGGCTTCGCCCCCTGGGCCCCCACCAGGGCTTTGCCCTGGACCCACTGGGGGCCTCAAGGCGGCCCCCAGACCCCTTGCCTAATTTTGGCGCCCCCTCTAACTCCAAATCCTGGATCCGCGCCTGACAGGTGATCAGTAATGCCCTCTACCGGCCGCGCTCATTGGCTGATAAAAACTCTCGCTGACGTAGAATTTAAATACCTCGGGGAAACCAAAACAGATCGTAGAGTGCTATATGTATATTATGGCTGATTATCGTTACCTCGAGTTTTCTTTGCGTACGAAAATTGCATTGGCAGAAATTAATTGTGAAAGATATTCAACATTAAATTTTCGAAAGCCTTTGCAGGGAAGAAGTATTAAAAGTGCTTTGAATAACAATACCGTGGTTGTTTTACCGACGGGCAACGGAAAAAGTTTGATTTACGAGGTGCTGCCCAAAATATTTGATACAAAGATTGTAATTGTTTCACCATGCGCTGAATTCCATCATAGAGGAACAATCCGCAAAATTAGGAGACAGGGCTGTAACAATAGATGGGAAATTAATAAAGGATCTTGAGAAGAAAGGTACGGTCATCTCTCGGTCATCTCTCTCTCTCTCTCTCTCTCTCTCTCTCTCTCTCTATGAGACTCGTTAAAAAATAATTACCAAATATTCATTTTTATTTTAGAATCAAGCCCAGATTCTGAAAACGAGAGAGTTAAAAGATTTTTGGATGGAAATGCTGTTTACATCATTGGACACCCAGAATTTATAATGGAAAAAACAATTTGTAAATTTCTCCGAAATAAATACAAAGATATATAGCATTGTAGTTGACGAGGCTCATTGTGTTGTGAGCTGGGGGCACGATTTTCGACCACAATTTTCACAAATTTCAAAGTTTAGGTCCCTCTTTCCAAATGCTAAATTCGTAGCCCTGACGGCCACTGCAACGATTAAAATGCAAAAAGAAATTGCAGAGAATTTATGCATGTCCAAAAATTTCCACACAATATCAAGTAATACTATTCGCGCCAACATAAAACTAAATGTCTCCAAAAGGTGTGCATCAACAGGTGGACATTACACAGCAGAAAAATCTTTTGAAACATCTTTGAAACCAGTGATTTCTGAGCTCTGTCTACAATTTCAAAACTTTGACAGAACAATTGTTTACAGTAAGCTTAAATACTGTGCCATGGGCTTTGACCTAGTAAGAAGGGAGGCAATGAAACTATCCCTTGAAGACGTTTCGCAAGTGATGAATGCAGTTTCACAATATCATGCACCAAGCACCACTAAGGTATTTTAGAACTAGTTTTTATTTTAATTCACATCAAAATGAACATACATATTTAAAAAATTCAGTTTAGCAATTAAATATTCATATTTTCCCCAATTATTTGAAGATGAAGGAGAAGACAGTTCACAAAATGTGTGACCCCTCTAGCCAACTGAAACTTCTATATGCTACAGAGGCATACATCATGGGAACAGATGCACCAAATATTCGGCGAATCATACATTTTGGCCCCCCATCATCACTGGAAAGTATGTTTATCTGAAAAACATAATTGTACATTATTCAACTACATGAACAGACAAATATATAACAGATAAGTAACTAGATTGACAATTTCTTATTAATCATGTTAATCACTATGATTCTTGATTATACAGCGTACTTGCAGGAGATAGGAAGAGGTGGGAGAGATGGAGCCCAGTGCATCGCAACTCTGTTTTATAACGCAAATGACATAGGAAGCAACGTCAAAAACATGAAAGAAGAAGTCAAACTGTTTTGCGCGCTAAAAACATGCAGGCGAAAATTTATTACTGACCACTTTGGATTTTCTTATGAACAAAATATGACACCGCATACATGTTGCGATGTTTGTGAGCTAAAATGCCAATGTGACAAATGTATTGTCGCCATTGCTGATAAAATAGAAAATGACGTAGCAATGGAGTCGACAGCATCAAGTCGCAAAACTAAAAATTCTGCATTACTTGTCGAAGTTCTAAGTTCGTATTTTGATACTGAAAGCAGTCAATTGGATATTCCAAACCCAGATGTATTTACTGGTCTCTCTAAATCCTTGTTAACAGGTCATGTGTCAATTCAATTGAAGATTTTGTAAATGAAGATTGTTTAAAGCAGAAGTTTAGTCACTTGCAACCTCATTTTTTGAGCAACATATATGAAATCATACAGAACGTAAGTGAAATCTAAATAATTTCCATATTCAACGGAAAACTGGAGCTTTTTATTTTCTATCCAACGGTGGTAGTTGGTCACATTAATATTTTTAGACGATGAAGCCTGGATATCTGAGAATTGTTCGTGTTGGCGCCCTTCTTCAAACGAAAAAAGGTCTAACCTCTCTCAGTTCGTTTAGAATTGCCAGTTCGTCACCAACAGCTGATTTGTCGGAATGTCGTTTTGATATTTCGACAACACCTGAGATTTCATCATAATGCTCAGCAATTTCTCTGATGCTTGATATGGCACTATACAATGAAGCGCATTGAAGTGGTAAAATTCTCCGTTTGGATGAAAAGTTCTGAGTCATGTTTTGAAGGTCAATTATAACATAATGACACGCCCATATTTTTAGAAACGAGAAAGTAATATTCGTCGTAGTTTTAGGACATCCCATTCTTCGCGACAAGCATCATGAGTTACATTGAAATGGAGCTTTAAAAAAAAATAGAAGAGGGAGTTAGATACTCTCCGCTTCTGTTAAACACAAAATGCAACGAATATGTACATATTTTTGAACTTAGCATGTCTATTGAAGTTACCACAACACATGTTTTGGTCGAACACGTGTTTACTCGGTGTTTATTTAGATCCTCAATTTGATTGGCTATTATATTTATGGAAAACCTGTTCTACAGGTATTTGAAGAAACAACTTGACCGTTTTATCAATTTCTAAAGAAATGGGCGTGTCAAAAGATGACAATAAACGCTCTAAATATAGCTCAAAACGTTCCATTCGAACGGAAAATTTTACCACTTCAATGCGCTTCATTGTACCTGTTCCTAACATTTCTTTCTGTTTTGTTGGAGAACATATGCTTGATATGTTCTTTTATTTGTTTAACTAAGTATTCCATCCTCCTGTCTGCGGGAATATGTCCGTTTACTTGTCCTGATGTATTGACAAATAAACCGTAAAATTCTTCGTTTGCAGCTTTTTCAGACAGGATACACGTTTGATGTACAAGTAACCTCATGATTTCATATGCATATTTTGATAGATTGTTGTTACTTTTAAATATGAGCATGATATTTCTTAGAAGACAGAGACCCCGATCTCTATTCGGCATTTTACAGAAATAAAGCCAATCTTTAAAGACTAATCCAAGTTCTAAGACTCGTCGGGAATAATTTTGTACTTTGTCGATTTTGGGTTTATCAGGGGGTTTTCGTTTAAACACCGATAACTATGTTTCTTTACCATTTGCTAACTTGATGTGAATCATCTGCACTTCTCCTTCCACTAAAAAAAGATAAATTTTAAATGTGAGTGACTTTTTTTTTTCCTAATATTTTTAAAAAAATTATTATGAGTTCATGATATTTATATTGATATTTGGTGTAAATAAAAATATATATACCTTCAACTTCCTGTTCACCCATATTCATTGTCTTAGTTTCGTTCTTAAGCATTGTTCCAACTTCATTAAAAAACCAACACCTTTTCATTTCGTCGTCAGCAAATTCAGTGGAATGTGTTTAGAAGGAGCGGAATTGACATCTGGCATTCCAAAATACTCGAGAACACAATCTACAATATACATATCAACAACAGAGACAAAAAAGTCCTTGTCTGCATTATAGTGGGTGTTGATATTTTCATTTACGTTTGTTCTGGAAATAATAATTTTCAAATGACTTAATGTTCCTCTGTCACCAACACTGTTATCTTTGTATAAAATTTTGAATGCCATTTTCAGGAAATTCATTTGCATGTGGAATAGTTCAAATGTTATGGGACTTAGGTTCTCAAAACGATCTTTCCGCTCATCTTCATGAGCCCTCATGGCCTTTGCCCCAGAAAACCGTTCTCTTGTCAATTGATCTCCTCCTACATGAATGAAAAAATCATTCTCATCTTTGTTGCATTTTCGACAAACGTCCAGAACAAGATCTTCATAAAATTCTAATATATCCACAACATCTTTATAACTGTTCATTTTTGTAAAGCACTGGAAGTGGGGTGACTTTAGACTTCTGCTGAAGCTCAGGGTAGGTTGGTTGACTAATATAAGTAGGAACAATATCTCGAAACTGGCGAAAATATGGCAAGTGTTTTAACATGACCCTGGCCGAGATGATCGTATAGTCCCTGGTTAAAACTTCGTTATCTTCAGGAGATGGTAAAAATGCTTGAACTGGTGTGGAACAAAAATCTCGCTGTGGGTATGTGTTTGAAAGATGATCAAATGAGATATTCTGGACAATTGCAGCAGATCCAAAGGCATGCTGCATATGGCCTCTGTTGTCTTGTCTTTGATCATGTACACCAACTGTCCAGTAGATGTTGTCGCCCACGATGCGGATGGTTTTCTTGTTCTGAATTTTTTCAATTAGTTGCTCTTTATACTTTCCTCCAAAGTTTTCTATTACTTTCAAGCTTCTCTCGTATCCAATACAGACGTAGTCTATCAAAAACCTGGTGGAAATATATCAGATTAAAAATATAATATTGTGTGTAATTGAATTAGGAAAAATTATCTAAAATTCATATACTTTAAGACATTACCTTTTGATCAGAAATATTGTCAAACAGCAGGAGAGACATCATTCTTTGAACGAGGCTTAGTTCTTTGTTTCGTCCTTGCATAAGAACTCCATAAACCATTCCAAGTCTTGGAACAACTCTCTCTATTTGCATATAAGAAGACATTTGGTGTGGCTCTAGTAAGATGGACAGAAGACATACAAACAGATCTGGGAAGAATGTTAATAACTCCTCCACAATCGAAAACCAATTTATATCTTTCAGGTCTTCAAAATTTTTCTCCATTAATTTGCTGACATAAAAATGTTTTCTTCTATTCATATGCTTTGCGGTTTCGCTGATTTCTTGAGATAAATGATGTACTACATTCTTCCTCAAGTATTCAATAGAAAGGATTTTTGAAACAAGATTGTTTGTAGTTTCATAGAGACATGACCTAAACAGGATTTCTCTGTCTTTTTCTTGTAGTTTTCCTTGGTGTAATGGACTGTATGATTTCATGAGACTGCTTACGTCTGAACATAGTCTATTATATTTTTGTGCCTTGTTTTTTGATTTCGTTGTCTTCTTGGCTGCTGTTTTTCCACTAGATTGTGGCTTTGCATATGAATGAATTTGAGCATTGCTTTGTAAATTTAAATTCAAAGACTTTTTTCTGCATTGATCCGAGGACTTCTTTTTTGTTTGAAGAGGACTCTTAGCATAAGAATGTATTTCTTTGAAAATATGCAGATTGAAAGAGGATTCATCTTCATTGTTACAACACGTAGAATGTGCCTGGTCCTCACATTGTTTAGTAGTTGTTGATTTATTACCATACTGGACTGTTGTTGGTGCAGTACCTGCTGATGGAATATCTGTAAAACACTTTTCAGATAGGACTGTATATGAACCACCTGAAGTGTACGTAATTTTACATAAATATGTATTTTGCTGCACGTAGAAAAAAACAGAGAAAAAAAATCTGTGTAAGCAGTCTATTTATCGTTTCTCACTAATTAAATCTTAATCTATGGAAGACAAACTTACCAGAAGAGGAATCATTGGGGTTTTCATCAGCCTCAAACGGAAGTTGAAACAACCGATTTCTGGCTTTAACTGGAGTGTCTTTTCTATCGCTCCTTTTCTTGTTTCATTTGCAGGAGAAGAGGCTACCCTCTTTCCTCTAGTATACACAGCCACATAGTTTTTCTGACACAAACCATAGAACTCTCGACATTTTTTGTCCAAGTTAATTAATTTTTGAAAACAATTTCTACAAAGTATTCCGCTTTCAACACTTATACCGCCATATTTTTTAACAGTTCTTTTAGACCAATATCTGTGTTTGCTTTGGATTCAATTAATCTAACACGATCACTAATATTTCCACATACAATACAAATATTCCTTTTTTCAGATTTTTGTTTCACAGGAGTGTTAAACATTTCATACTAGGCCTATATGTACATGACATTTCACTTCGCTAAATTTTCAGGCGTGATATAACAGATCAGCAAGCCCCTATCACATTACATGACATACATTAATTGGATAAAATAGAACTGCAACAACTCTGCTAACTAGTTTTGTTTATTAGAATTGACATATTTAATTACCACAGGAAACATAAATCGGTTTAAAGCTCACCTACTGAGTCAGCAGATCGCTTTATTGTGTGATTATTTCCCATCCCGGCGATAGATGGCGCGTCACTCAAGCCAGGAATCCCTGGCTTTAATGGCGGTGATCACCTGTCTTTTCCTGCGTACGGTAAAGACAGGCAATACCAGTCTAATACGCACTGCCCTGGGGCATTTATCTAGTTCTATGGTATCTCCAGGCTTCGTTAAAATATTGTTTTTAATCCAGTGATAAAATAACGAGAACAATTGGTAAATATGTACATGTAGATTAGACATTGTAAAATGAAAATCTTTAGCAGGTGAAGTAATGACAGATTGATGCTTGCTTTTAAAAGTAGGTCATGAGCTGGAAAGTGAAAGTATATATATTTTAAGGTAACAAAATGATCTCTGATATAATATTCTGAAGAAAAGGCGTTTCTCTTTCTTTGTTGACTTATTCTGAATAGGCCTAGATATATAAATTAAAAGTCTATGATAACAGGATAGGACTATCAATGAAAGGGTGGGTTAAAGAATACTAGTAACCCATTTTTAACGAACCTGTAGATTGTAGGAGAATTCAATTATTCTTGATCGATAAGTGGATGGCTCCAACTCGAGGGGGAGTATTAAAACGAGCCATCAACTTCTCAGTAGAGAATAGAATTCCATATTTGAAGTCGATCCTCAAAACTTGAGTCAAAATGTGAACCTTACCAATTTTAAGCTAAGGAAATTAAAGGGATGAAGGACCTTTGGCTGAAAAAACACCTGTCATTTAATTTTTTTCATATTTTGTATATATCTTATTTAGTATGTCCCACATACTATAAAGCAGACATATCAATAGGTTTCTAGACTTATTTCTGAGATATTGAGTGACAAATACCATACCCCACAATGTCTGAACGGAGTTTTTATTCTCCGTGTTTCTGGGTCCATTACTCGGTCGATAATTGAAATTTTTCAGCATAGATAAAAAATATGCCAGCGGAAATGTGTCTTTTAAAATATTTTAGAGTATGAATAGAGTTAAAAATTCGAAAAAAACCAGATTCTTTTGTAACACCACATCAGGAGACGGAAATTTACGAACTTTTTAGGACAACTTAAACCATAAAAAAAAATAATTTGCAAGAAATCCTATCATTCAATATTTGAAAATTTACGTCGAAGTTCAAGGTCGTCATTATATTGATTAACTGTAAAAATATCGATTGGTGAAGCTGAGCTCAATATTGCACGGGGCAAAGTTAAACGAGTCATGATCATGAGAAAAACGTGTCATGTTTACATTTCTCGAGTACGGGAAAACCCAACTATGACGTCACACATTTCTGAAATAAGCGAAATAAGACATACCCACAGAACTTTTCCGTCAACAACCATGTAAAAATATTTGTTGCGTTCTGAAATTCACAAAATACCCCACCATGTACATATTATGGCCCGTTTTTATGATTTTATACTACCTGTTTTTACCGTGTATGATCTTACTGTACTAAGAGGTCCACTATGACGTCAACGACGCGCTGGACGCGCAGTGTAGGGAAACGACAGAGTGGATTAATCTATTCCGTAATTTGATAATATTTGCAAGAAATTTTTAATGTTTTCAGATATTTTTATACTAGATGGTGAACGCAAACAAACAGTCAAAAAAAATTATACAAGGCCTGTGGTTTCAATCTCGTTTTATACATATTTTATCAGAGATTATGACGTAAATCAACTGAGTCACGTGACCATACATCCTTCGTCCCCTTAAACTAATCTTATCTTTCTTTTAATTTTTGTAGGAATATTAGTCCACAAGCCATTCATTAGTTTTGACGATGAGTAATATAACCGATTACAATGAGGTTTGTAAGATGTACGACGGGAGACGAGCAGCGGACGCCTTTGTCCATAAATCCCTGATGGAGAATTTTACTGGAAAGAACATTCATGTAAGATATAATTATGTATAAAGACTAGATTTGGATGTTTTGTAATGTTAATATAATTACCTTCAAAACGAACATATAAAAATGGCATGCCTCAATGTCTCAAAAACACAAATAAGGATTGATTTGATGTCATGGATTATATGCAGTATGTAATAAAGCTGAATGTATTCACATTTACAGGACATGGATATTCTGGAGGCTGGCTGTGGGACAGGAAACTACGCGAGTTATTTCCTGGACCAGGAACCCCGCAGCTTGACTCTTATTGACGCCAGTGAAGGGATGCTTAGCGTGGCCAGAGGGAAATTACAATCCCAAAATCTAAAGTCGAAGCTTAGCTTCCAAACAGGAGTGCTTCCGATTATTCCTTTTGAAGATAATTCTTTTGACAGCGTTATGATAAATATGGTACTTAAAATAATTTTTTGCATCCTTGCATTTGTACCTCAAATTGATGCCTTATGTATTCAAAACACTAAACAATTGCTCAACTTTTAAAAGAAATTGAAGCTACTAGTACTGCGGTATTTCATATTATTCTTCCAGATACCGTATTTGGAGACATGTTATCACTCTTTATAATCTTTTCCAAGACTGTAGTCGTCTATCTCAGTAACACAAAAGTCATGAATATTAAACTTAATAATCCTCAAAACATCGATATATTCTCCATTAGTATAAAGTACTCCTCTTCTATGATTTATTAGGTACTACATTATTTAGAGATAAATCCTGATGGAAAATCGTATCCAAACACAGCTAAAACGATGAAAGAAGTTTTTCGGGTTTTGAAACCAAGAGGTGTGTTGACTGTTACCACCTTGACCCCTGAGCAAGTAGAGGCCCACTGGTTTGGTCATTTGGTTCCAGGACCCTTGAAACAATTCGCCAAGAAATTCCCCTATCATAAGCAGATGAAGGACATATTGACCGAGGCTGGATTAACACTGAAGGCGGCTCTCAACACGTTAACAACAGATTATGACATTGGACACGATAATTTGGAGGGACCATTACAACAAGATTGGAGGAAGAATATGTCATTTTGGGACACGTGCTCTGAGACTGAAATTCAAGACATGGTGCAGAGAGTGCAGAAAATGAAAGAGGAAGGAACTCTGCGTGACTTTTATAATACTCACGAGAAAACTCACATATTCGGGGCAATGCAGATTCTTGCCGCACAAAAATAAATGTTAAATGGTCATGTAGTTGAACTATATAGTTTGTCGATGAGCATATACTGTAAGATCCTTTTGAATTTGAATTAATCGGTATATTGTATAATAAAATAAAACACATTATTATTTTAAATTGCATTTATTTCAGTTTTGAATTATAAAAATGTTTAATTTTTATGCGCCCGGATCGATAGATCCGGGGTGTATATTGTTTTTGTCCTGTCTGTCTGTCTGTTTGTCTGCAAACTTTAACCTTCGCCATAACTTTTGTAGCATGAAAGATAGAGACTTCATATTTGGTATGCATACTCCATTAATAAAGGTCTTTCAAATGACACCAAGGCCAATGACCTTGTGACCTTGACTGTGACCTATATGCTAAAATAGCTTTTTTCTGCAAACTTTAACCTTCGATTTTACTTTTGAACCATGAAAGATAGAGACTACATATTTGGTATGCCTACTCTACTAATTAAGTTCTGTCCAATAATACCAAGGTCAATGGCTTTGTTACCTTGATTGTGACCTATATGCTAAAAATAGCTTTTTTGTCTTCAAACTTTAACCTTTGCCATAACTTTTGAACTAATAAAGATAGAGACTTCATATTTGGTATGCGTATTCCACTAATTAAGCTCTTTCAGATGACACCAAGGCTAATGACTTTGTGACCTTGACTGTGACCTATATGTTAAAAAAATCTTTTTTGAACCTTAATTAATTGAGATATAGAGGCTTCTTATTTGGTATGCATACTCCACTGATCAAGTTCTTTTAAATGATACCAAGGTCAATGCCCTTGTGACCTTTATGCTAAAAATAGCTTTTTTCGAACTTTTGTTGCCGCCGGGCGCATAGTGTTTCACAAACACATCTTGTTTCAGATGATAAGGACATACTGTTAGGATGCGCGCATTCAAAAGACATTTACAGGTTTACAGTGTATTTCTTGATGATGGCAACGATTTTCAGGATAAAAGGTGAAAGAGATTTGGGGTTTTATTATGCATAATATTGCCATTGATTACGAGTAGCAAACAATGTGGAAGCGTGGGGTACATAAACTTAAAAAAATCAATGGTTTAAAATTTCAGTCTGATGAATGCTTGAACAACAGTATAAAGCAAAAAAAGGTACACTATAAAAATGGGAAAAACATACTAGTAATTAATTCGAATTCTTCTATTACAAATACAGGTAAACTCGTTTAGTACGAACACGGCGGATATAGCGAATTCACAGATATAACGAAGTTTTTCTGGGTCCCCGGCAAAATTCTTAACAAATCCTTGTAAAATTTTACGGTTATAACGAAATCTTATATAACGAATTTACGGATATGGCGAACTGATTTTGGGTCCCATTGAAGTTAAATATAATGAAATTTACAACTTTTATAATGAACTTTCAAAGATCTCAAAATTTGATAAATTGAACTGACTTATTTTTGTTCATGGAATTGTATATATAATTCAATTCACAATAAAACCTTAGTTATCGAAGGTATGTTTTGTAATATTTGCTTCCCTAACATATTTGGTAGTAATACTTGAAGGAAAACATGTTTATTGCGAATTCGCTTTATAAGGTTTTACGAAATCGTTATACGGTTATAACGAATTACGGATATAGCGAATTAAATTCACAGGTCCCTAGGACTTCGCTATAACCGAGTTTTACTGTAGATAATCAAGTGAAACAACATCTCCGCTGATCTTGGAAAATCATACATATTCAGTGATACATAATTAACCTTATTTTAAACTGAAGTGAATCAATAATTTTTAGACAAACAGGACAGACTTGTAAAGGATAGCAAATTGTATTTAACCAAAATTTAGTAAACATTTTTTTTCATTTAAATTAGATCATGGGATGCCCTTTTAAATTAATAGAAATATTAAATGCACTCTGGGTTACATGCAGATTATACATCACATGAACTGAGGATAAATACCACATTTACAGAAACAGAACTTTACAGAACTTTACATAATTAATTACTCTTAATAAATAACTGATGTATATCTCTGTAAATTTATAAACATGTGTGTCCCCCCTTTTTTTTAACCTTCATATTTACAGAGATTCTCAGACTGGGTTTTTCCCACTTTCACTGGGCCACTGTTGCACCAGAATGTAAAAGTATATGTAACAAAATAAAAACCCCCAAAAACAAGAGATTCTGCATATTTCATAAAAAAGATCTATTGGATAAGATTCATTGGCTTAATATGATCTGAGTGATTATCTCCATATCCTTCATTTGGTCACTGTGATAAAAGGTTCATAAAGAAATGTCACTTTATTTGTTATAAAAGCATGTATCAGAATTAGGATTTTATAAGATATGCTATGAGGCTCCTCATAAGAATATTCAGAATACTAATCCAACAAAAGTTTATGTGAGATAATATATCATAACTCATGCAAAAGGATTTATCAGCATTTTGAGGATCTCTTAGTCCTAGTGTATTTTAGGGTACACATGGCTGTGTTTTTATGAATGATATAAACATAAGGTATATAACACAGCAATAATGAATAAATACAAAGATGACCTTCATAAAAAATGTATTTATAAACAAAAATATATGTAATACTTACCATGTTTATACTCAGTATATAGTTATATTCATTAAATAATCCAGTGAAATAACATCTAGCCTGATCCAGGATTCAGCTGATCAGAACTTTCTTGGAAGAAAAATGGTTGAAAATCAGTGTAAATACTGAAATCCATAGGACCATACAGTTATTTACATGAAGTCTTCAGGGCTGTGAAAGTCTGTGTTATTGTGTCAAAATAAGCAGCCACCGAGGCTGTGAAGGACTAACATGACGTCATAATCAAGATTTGAATCACTGCCAAGTTTATGACGTCACAATGCATAGGTAGCTGTAATTTGAATCGTGTGTTATTGTTTTCGGAAAATCCAGTTTGAACTGGCTAGGCTTTGAGTGTGAATGAAATCGTGACGTCATAATCACATTCTTGACTCGCTGCCAAATCGTAGTAGCAGCGTTGAATCGTAGTAGCAGCGTAGTAAAAAAAAAAAGCTAGTACAGTGTAAGCGCCCTATTGGACATATAGGGGCTTTACTGAGTTGACCCACCTAGCCCCAGGGTTAGCTGCAGATCTGTAGCTCTCCGAAAAAAATATTTTTATACCCCGGAGAGCTACAGTGCCACCCATTGAAAAAACTGTATATTTATTGCGCACAAAAAAGTGCGCTCGGTTCTCGATTTATTTCTCCATGTTTTTAAAACTGTAATCTCAAAATATTACTAACCGTGTGTTCCTAACAAATTCTTTCGCTGTCTCCACAATCAAACATTCCTCATAATTGTTGTTAATAGTCCTCCTGACCCTGATAATGTAATCATCGAACATTTCGCTTATTTATACTGCCATTTTGGTTTCAAAGATAATTCGGTCCAATATGCTTCGTTCGGATGTCAACTACGAGAGTACTTGATAGAAGATAAAGGAATTCTTTGAAATCTTTCCTTATTTGCAATTGAGGTAAGAATTTGAAAGAATTAATTAAGAACCGAGCGCACTTTTTTGAGCGCAATAAATATACAGTTTTTTCAATGGGTGGCACTGTAGCTCTCCGGTCTATCAATATATTTTTTTTCGGAGAGCTACAGATCTGCAGCTAGGTTAGGGTTAGGGTTAGGGTTAGGGTTAGGGTTAGGGTTAGGGCTGTACTCAGTTGACCCACCTAGCCCCATGGTTAGGGTTAGGGTTAGGTTAGGGTTAGGAGTTAGGGTTAGGGTTAGGGCTGTACTCAGTTGACCTCCCTATCCCCCAGACCCCAAACTGCACTCCTTTGAATCCCTCAGCGGCTTAGCCAATCAGAATCCACCATTTTTGACCTCATTTGCATAAAAAGTGCACTCAGTTGACCTCCCTATCCCCCTCCTCTTGACCACATGATCCTCTTAGCCAATCAGAATGCTCCCCTATCTAGGAGCCTTATACTACTTTCCTAGTGTTTAGCAGGTATTTCTGTTTGGAAAAGAGTTCAACACAGCGCTAAACAAATTTCAGTTATGCTCGCTGCTCCGCCTTGACGTCAAAATTCATTTTGTCGTTGCTATCAGATTTCTTTACAGTGCATTAATCGTTTTATTATTTCCATATTTCTGATCAAAATTCTAATGAAGTCAATATAAGATTGAAGAATTATATACATAATTTGAATTATTTCGCTCCTATTTTGTGTCCATCGGAAATTTGATCGATGGTGTAATATATTTTCAATATCTGATTTCGTGACTGCTCCGGGTACCCCTACAACTGACACATTTATACCCCACTAAAAAGAAGAAATTTAATATTTACTTTTATTAATTTTTAGTGTTTGTCAAACGTATATGCAAATTTTCACCGACAATGACAATGACAATGACAATGACAATAATTTATTCTCTTAAATGTACAAACATACATTGTAGAGAGGAGGTAGGAAAATGTACAAACACAATACAAAAAAATATAATACATGCATTATAAACAGTACAAAGTATCATGTTCAAGTTCATGTCAATTATTTTCATCTATAATTTGTTTGACAATCAATAAAAATTTACATAATTTTTTCAATGCTGAACAATTTGTTGTTGTAAAAAGTTGCTTAAATTTCTCTATATTTGGTCTACATGTGAAAGAGTTTGAAATATATTTTAACCTAGCCTCTTTAATTTCTTTTTGTGTGCATTCAAAAACATAATGGAATTCATCACCAATCTTATGAAAATCACATAAAGTACAAATTCTTTGTTCTCTTGGAATACCAAACCATCTCCCAGTTTCAATAGGGAGTTTAAAGTTGCTACATCTAAATTTACATAACAAAATTGAAAATTTTCTAGGTAGATTAACGAGATATCTTTCTGGTTCTAGTATTTCTTTATAAATACGATAATTTACACCCTTTGATGAGTTAAAAACATTACTTTGCCAGTTTTGGATATTTTGGTCAACAAGTATTCTTTTTACTTCATTTTTTACCCATGCTACATTGTACATTTGTTGTGTTGTCCATAAATAAGATAATCCACAATCGTCTAAAATATTTTTAACATAGTTAACCCAAGGCAAATTATGCCTTGAAGCTAGAACAT